CTTTTAGGCACTAGTGCTTAAAAGTTACTTTCACGCACTTGAAAGTCACTTTTACGCACTTGAAAGTTACTTTTACGCACTTGAAAGTCACTTTTACGCACTGAGTGACTAAAAGTCACTTTTACGCACTGAGTGCTTAAAAGAATGTCGTTTCAAAACTAAAATGACAATCGAAAAGTTGCTATTATGAAACGTCAGTAGAAAAAAAGCTTTTCCTTTATTATTTCCCACTTTTCGACACAAAACACGTAATTTAAATTAGGAACGAACAGAAAACATCGAAAAAGCAAGAAAATATTCCCCAAATAGTTCCAAATATTTCCGCCAGGTGCCGCATTGATTTTTGAAATCGCCAATAGAAAACTACATTACGAGTACAATGACACCTCATTTGTCACTATTTGACATTTCAGCTCCAAATATTTAAATTTTGACTTTTTAATCTAGAGCGCCATGAATTAGTTAAAATGCTTAATTTTGCCCCAAGGACCTGGGAAAATTTGTTTCGATCTTATTTTGTATTTTATATCCTTAACAGACTCATTTAAAGATAGTAGAAGCGCATTTTTGGAATTATGTATATCAATTTTTTCAAATGGAAACGGTATGGCCTCAGGTATGGCTCCTTAGCATATTCTGAGAGAGCATTTTTTAACGAACAATTTAGTACCACACAATCGCTAGTTTATTCAAATATTGAACTAAAATTTTCCAAAAACATTTAGAATGCTAGGAGAATTCTTCATTTGAGTGATGAACTAGCGATTGTGTGGTACTGAATTGCTCGTTAGAAAACGCTCTTTTGGAATATTGTAATGAGCCACACCCTTTCCATTTGAAAAAATTGAGATAATTACAAAAATGCACTTGTACTATTTTTTAATGAGTCTGTGGAGAATATAAAATACAAAATAGGATCAAAACAAATGTTCCCAGGTTCCTTGGAGCAAAATTAAGCATTTTAACTAATGCATGGCGCTCTAGATTAAAAAGTAAAAATTTAAATAATTTGAAGATGAAATGTCAAAAAGTGACAAATGAGGTGTCATTGTACTCGTAATGTACTTTTCTATTGAAATGAGGAAAAATATACCTGGGGTCTCATTTAAAATAAAAAAGTTCTAGTCACTTCCGGTTATATAATAATTGAATATGTCAAATAATACACATCTGGGTCATGAATAAACACTCCAAATTTCATTTGTTTATTTGGAAAAATAAAAAAGTTATAGTGGTGAGCGGGTTTTGAAAAACACCTGGTATAATTGAGTGCCTGGTTAGGCTTAGCTTTGGGATTGGCAATGGCAGATTGTAGTTTCTCAAGTTTTAAAGTTCTGGTCTAGAATAGTCTCGAAATTTTTTGAACAATAAACTGGACACTTCCAAGATGAAAATACAGGGAACAGTCATTATCTGCTCCTGCTTGAAAAGAGGCCTACAGCTTTCCCGACGATTTACCCTACACAAATAACGCAGAGCTTGTTTCTGACAGATAAACACTGATTCAACAGCTGCCTGTGTCGAAAAACCCCAGAATGCTATGCCATATCTGATGTGAGACTACAAGTGCATGATACGCTATTTTGGCTGCGTGCTTTCCCAGTGCATCAAGGATGCTTTTCACTATACAGGGTGTCCACTTAGTGCGATATCGGACGATATCTCCTTACAGGGTGATGCAAGAGAAAAAAATTAAATTACAAAGTTGTTTGATACTCTAATATGCATTAGTTAAAAATATTTTTGAATATACAGGGTGCCTTGTTTATGTATGCGACAGAACTTTGTTATTTTAAATGGAACACCCTGTATGTGATTGCATATTTGGATTCCACGTGAAATTCTAAGTAGATTTCATGTGATATACCCTATACCTAAGTTCAGCTGTTTTGGAAATATTGACAGTTGAAAATTAACTTTTTGCAACTTTGACAGACTGTAAAACCTTAACGGTTAATTTTAGAGGAAAACCGATTTTACATTCCCATTTTAGAATTTCATAAACTATCATTTGACATCAACTTTAAATTTAACCGGAGATTAAATTAAATTGAAATTTTTAATCATGGATTAAATTCAAAGTTGGTGTCAAATAATAGTTTATAAAAAACTGAAATAGGAATGTGAAATAGGTTTTCGTCTAAAATCAACCATTTAGGTTTTACAGCCTGTCAAAGTTGCAAAAAGTCAATTTTCAACTGTCAATATTTCCAAAACAGTTGAACTTAGGTATAGAGTATGTTTCATGAAATATGAAATCTACTCAGAATTTTACGTAGAACCCAAATTTGCAATCACATACAGGGTGTTCCATTTAAAATAACAAAGTTCTGTTGTATACCCCATAAACGGAGCACCCTGTATATTCAAAAATATTTTTAAATAATGTATATTAGAGTATCAAAAAACTTTGTAACTTAATTTTTTTTCTTGCATCACCCTGTAAGGAGATATCGTCCGATATCGCACTAAGTGCACGCCCTGTATAACAGCCCTGTGAGAGTTCTTTATTAAGGGTATTAATATGAGTGTCAAATTTAAGTCTCGAATCTATGTGCATACCAAGAAGTTCTATCTTCTACCAGCTTTTGGTCAATTGTGATTTCATTAAGAGTGCATTTGAATGACAGTATATATTGTTTTAGATATGTTGACAACCAAGCGATTTGCGTCACACCACCCCTCGATTTTTTCCAAGTCTTTTTCAATAATCGTGTTAAGAATTGTCACGTCTTTGTGTCGCCAAAGTATGGTTGTATCGTCTGCAAAAATTACAAAAGCTCCCAGAATTGACAGTGCTGCCAGGTCGTTAATGTAAATTAAAAAGAGAATCGGCCCAAGAACTGACTCTTGAGGAATTCCATTGGTTAAATTTAGCGTCTTTGAATTATCCTTACCATGAATTCTTATTAGCTGGGATCTATTCGAAAGGTATGCTCTAAACCAGCTCAACTCCGTTCCCCTGACTCCGTAGTGGCTCATTTTCCGCAGCAGTATTTCGTGATTAACACAGTCAAAAGCTTTTGAAAAGTCACAAAACACTGCCGCAGCTTTTTCACCATCATTGAGAGCAAAAAAGAGTCTCCAGAAACGCAAATATGGCATCATTGCACCCCTTTGATTCCTGGAATTCAAACTGATCCGGTGTCACAACATTATGGGCCTTTAAGTAACTCACCACCACTATCTTTTCTATAATTTTCGATAGCGTAGTCAGTAAAGAACAATAATCCAAATGTGGTCGCACCAAAAAATAATTTTTTAAAAAAAATCAAGATTGCCATTTGGTGTATTTGGTTCTAGGAATTTGAATAAGTTTTTTGAAATTAAATTAGATTTTTCGTTGAAGCGCTGTGAGGACAAAAGTAATTTTTTTAAATGGAATAACCTATATGTATCTAAATCCATTTTTGAAACGCCCTTGTTTTTCTCATTTTTAATATATAAAGTTTGTTTATCTTTATTTTAGTAATTTGCGATATATTCTCACTTAAGATTCAAATAAAAATAGCCGAAAAGGTATCAAGGTAAATCTAAATAATTTTACCTTTAATAAAACTATTGGTTATTATGTTTTATGATATTTCCTGACTATGTTTAACCAATGGAATTTGCGCTGACTAGTTTGTGATTTCTGGTGGAAACAGACCTACAGTCTGTCAGCAACCGTCTATTATAGGCTGAGTTCGTTTAATACCTCGCTGATCATTGGGAGGATTACAGATTTTGGTCACGTAATTACAGAGTCCTGGAAAGCTTCTGCATATTGCCTAGGCCGGAAAAGTGATTCCCGTATTGTTATTCATTGATTCTTTAGCAACTATTGAAACATAATTAGAATTCCAGAATATTAAGTTTGCGACCTCTCAACCGGTCAGAATTGCTGACATCTCTTGTCAAGCGCAGAAAAATACAAGGTGTCCCAGGTAAGAAAGTGCACCCCGATTTATTGGATTTTGGATGAGAACCTGGAAAAACGCTCCAACACGTCTATTTTTGATTTGAGGGGAAACTAGTTGTCAGTTTTTTTCATCGCCGTAGCTTTAACCCCCTAGCTGGGAGGAGGGGGGAACAAAGCTCAAATTTGAATAGGGGATAAGGTCGTGTCATGCCTCTTTTTAAAGGTCTCATCGAGTTCTTTATGGCCCTAGGGAGGTAAGTACCGCTTTTACTCCTACTAAAACAATAGTCTATTTCCAAGATTTTGACAAGTTTTCATTTCGTTACGAATGAGAATAATAAGACTCTAGGGCCATAAAGAACTCGTGAGACCTTTAAAAAGAGGTATGACACGACCCCTATCCCCTATTTAAATTTGGGGGGTAGTTTTCCCCCTAGCTAGGGAGTTGAAGCTACGGCGATAAAAAAAACTGAAAAATATTTCCCCTTGAAATCAAAAATCGGCGTGTCCGAGCGTTTTTCCAGATTTTCATTTCAAATCGGAAAAATCGGGGTGGACTGTTTTCAGTAGTAATAGCCCAAGGACATTGATAATTGTCCGAAAAAATTTTATAACAGATTTCGAAAGCTTGTTGCTTGAAAACAGACCGACGCGCTAGCTTTGGTCTGTTTACTTTAAGTAACAAGCTTGAGGAAGTTTTTATAAAATTTTTGAGCATTTATCAATGTTCGAGGGTTATTCGGATAGAAAATTTTTTGAGCAGCAATGTCCGTGACAATTTCATAGAGTGGAAACAACCTATGGGCTGTTTTCAGTATAATTTTGATATGATTGGGTGATTTATGTCACATGACAAGAAATAACAAAATTTAACTAGCTGTCAGAACTGTCAAAAATTTTTCCCTGGGACACCCTGTATGTATGTAAGTAACACTTGACAACGCCTCGTGGTTTAGTTGCACAAGTTTCATTAATAAAGTTCATATCGAACGTGTATCATTTAAAATTTCGGTTGATACGGGAATTTTCACTTCGGCAGCTTCAATATCGAGTCCATTTTTGTGACATCATAAACAATGTTTTTCTTTTTTTTTTTCAGATCTTTCTCCAGAGCAACAAAAAGTTTTGATAGAGATTAGAAGAAAGAAAACTGACCTCCTGCTCCAAATACAGGTTGGTATGGTGTAGTTTCACTTCATTTTGTCATTTTAACGTTAAATCTTTAAATATAGCAACTAAAAGATGATCTATGTGAGGTGGTTTCCGAAATGGAATCTCTAGATTCTGGCGACGATGGAAAAAATAGTAACAGAACCAAGATGATGTCAATAGGAAGGAAAAAGTTTAACATGGACCCTAAAAAAGGCATTGAGTATTTGATAGAAAAAGGATTGTTACAGGTAAGACTAGACTATTTATTTTTTGAAAAACAACCGATGTTAATTGAATTTTTTTTCAAAAATCTGTTCTTGTCACACCTAAACGGGTTGTTTATGGCTATGCTTTAGAAAATTTGGTGGGATGGACCCACAAGCTGTTTTATCACTATTTCATGGTTTGAACTTTTGTTTATATAGAGACCGGGCACAAATTGAAATCCGCGCCCCCAAGTGGCAATTTTCATAAGAATTTGTGTAATAAACAGTTGGACTTTTGACAAAATGCCAATATATTCTAACCTATGGACGAGACTATATGCTTTTCACTTATTATTGGCGTACCATTATCCATGGAAATTTGACAGGTTGACCCTCGAATAATAATGACATTTGATGACAAAATATTTTTCAAATTTCAGGGTTATGAAACAGAAAGCCGAGTTGCCAGAAAGTAAAATTATTCAATTTATTAATTAAACGTAACCATAACAGTAAGCTCAATAGCAAAATATGTTTTTGCAGTAACTTTTTTTTCGGGTTTGGTCCAATGGCATTTCTCCTATTTTTATTTTTTTACTAGCTAATGAGCCGCTGCGTTGCCAGCTTGAAAATACATTTTGAAATAATACACTTTTTTTCAAATTTTATTGTTGATTTTCTATTTAATTTTTTTTAAATCCGATACCAGAGTCGCTTGCCACTCTTGCCAGTGAGTTCAGTGACGCATTTTAAGCACTCCAGAGCTGTTCTAGAGCGCCCCGGGTTGTTTATAGGCGTTCCAGTGTATCAGAGTTTTGCGCAACCGAACTTTTTTTTTTCGGGATAAAAAATAGCTTATAGCACTCCCCTCTTTAGCCGAATTTGATTGACCGGATTAGATCGATCTGGTTCAATTTAAGTGAACCACACTGTGTTCGATTTAGGCTGGATCAGTGCACTCTCATCAACAAAAAAATGATCTAGATCAGAAGAAGTTCACTTAAATTGAACCCAAATCGATCTAATCTGGGTCAATCGAATTCAGCTTATACGTGGTATTAAATTCAAGATCGGTCTCGGTTAATAATTAATTCAAAATTAATTTCTTTTTCCGAGATGCGTAACCTATCCACAAACGTTCCTTAGGATGGCCATAACAATCTACCAAAGTTTCATCGTAATCGGATAAGTGGTGAAGGAGCGCATATCCGGATGCATCTAAACATTCCGGTATAGGATTCGGCACCTAGGCATATTTCATTGGTCCGTTTGAATTCGGACCGCCAATTAATGCGGAGTGCCGAAATCCGTACTTGAATGTTGAACGGTGCTGAGCCTCAGGTCGGAATGGTATATACATATACTATGTGGAGTGCCGAATCAAAGGTCAAAATGTTAAACAGTGCCCAGCTGAAGGTTGGAATGTTACTCCGTTAGCGCGGTACAAAATCAACAAACAAACTTTATTTACTTTTTGTTACACATTTATTTTATTTCAACGATATATATTTCAAAAAATCTTGGACAATAATTTGCAGTGGCGGACCCAGGGGGGGGGGGGGGATTATAAAAACCTGAAACCTGGCAAATTAGAATAGAAAATTTTGAAAATAAATACCCTGATATGTTTATCTTTTTTTTTGGTATCTGTGGTGCTTAGTTTAATTAAAATATCAATTGAAGCCAGGCAACAGCAGTTTTTGGATTTTCCTTTCTTATTATTTCCTTGATCCACTTTTTTATAAGCACTATGATGGCATACAAAAACATATCTAAAAACTGTATTTTCCAAAGTCTATTCGCATCCAAGAAGATTCTACGTCATTGAATTGACATTGAACACAAACCTGCATTTGAATCTGTTATAATTATTTTATGCTGACTTCACATTCCAATTAGTGTATATCACTATACTTTTCTATCCATTGCTTTATATCGTTTTCCTCCAAAATGTTGGCTCGGTAAATTTGCTCACCACATTGAAAGTGTTTAAATGATCCAGGCAAACTCATCTTGCATGTTTAAGCACAACAACACATGAAGCAACGGCGAAATAAACCGCATCCGCCGCAAAATTATAGCTAAGAGCAACACGAAGGAGGTGGACAGCTGATTTAATATAAAAACCGCGCCAAACGCATGGCAACATTCGGACCTGATACTCAGCACTGTTTAACATTTTGACCTTAGATTCGGCACTCCACATACCATTCTGACCTGAGGCTCAGCACCGTTCAACATTCAAGTACCGATTTCGGCACTCCGCATCAATTGGCGGTCCGAATTCAAACGGACCAATGAAATATGCCTAGGTGCCGAATCCTATACCGGAATGTTTAGATGCTATCTGGATACCCCGCGAACTTTGATTTTTATATATATAGAAGAAGATAGATAGATTTCTTCTTCTTCTGGACGTGCCTATCCCCTCACCTATCCCTTATGAATGTCGACGATCATCGATTATTATGGCGATGTCCACAATATGGAAGAGTTATGGCGAGCTTTTATCAAACAATGTTCTGTGATTTTTCCGTCACGATATTCTTCTTCTTCCTGGTCCTCTCTATCCAAATATCTTCCCTTGCAGGACCGATTGTAACAAAACCTTATCTTTTTGAAAGGGTTGTAAGGCATAGGAGGGTGGGTAAGATCTCGACAATTTTTACATAAGGCCATTTTTTGAGAAAGTGTTAATATACTTAGGCCTACATTTTCAGTTAGATAACCTCAAATATAAGTTACTTAAATGATGTATTTAGAGAACCAATTCTGTGAGGCGTTTTCTTTAAAAATAATCATGTATGTTGCCTTGCTTGATTCCAATACCTCTCCATCAGAAGGGAGACATTGGAGCAAAATAGGGGAGATTTTGGACATGAGCAAAAACATGGTGCATTTAATAAAAATAGTTTATTTCAAGGTAAAGGTAAAATATTATATTTCGCCAAGTAATTATTTTGAAAAATAACTAGAACAAATAATAGTTATTTATTATACAAGACGGTAAAAAGACGCTTTACCTGTTAGTGGAAAATGTTGATTCACGAGCGACGAAGGAGCGAGTGGATTAATTCCACGAACAGGTAAAGCTTTTTTACCGTTGTGTGTAATATTCTATTTTATTCTCGAGCCACTTTTTATGTATCACATTTACTAAAATCATAAACTAAAATGTGCTAAATTATGACAAATTGACAAAGTACCTAACAAACTGACACATTTCTGGTGTTGTCAATCATGCAACATATCAGATTTCTGTCAAAAACACTATAATTATTATAAAAGAAGAGAACGAGTGGGTAAAATTGACGTATGAGTGGGTAAAATTGACGTATGAGTGGGTAAAATTGACAAATGAGTTGGTAAAAATTGTTCGATTTCACTACTTCAAATAAAGTGTTACTTTAACAACGAGTTTTGAGTCGATTAAATGATAGTTTACCATTCGCGATAGAATAAAGATATAAATTCCTACATTCTAATTAAATTGAAAATTTAAAAAATAGAAAAAAATAAAAACACAAATAAAAAAATCATCACTGCAAAGCAAATTACGTCAAATCTAAATTGAAATAAATCATGTCTTTAAATCTCTTTCTTGTATCATTAATGGGAGATGGAAGTAAAGAAGTAATGTCGTAAAAAGGAACCAAAGCTCAATCATCTTTAAGAACTGTGAATCTATTTGATGCAACGTGACGTTCTAAGAAGTTCACTTCATATCAATCAACTCTTCTGATAATTTTCGCTGCCTAATTTCTGACACTAATTTTACCGTAAACTTTGTTAATATAGAACATGTTTCTGGAAGTTCTTTGTAATCAAAATTTTTCTCGTCGTTGATGAAAATTAATTAATCTTCTCATAAATTATCTTTACATTCAATTCGATCCTCCGCCATATCCCTAATCGCTGTCTTCGGAAGTGTCAGTGGCAATCATGCTACCATCTATGGCGCAGGATAGTTTTTTGATGTTGATGGTTGTGGCTCTAGGTTGCCTTTTTGATGTGGATAGTTAGTTGCGGCTCTGGATATGAATAATTATTATAGATGGTGGGAGCCCGGTTGATCCATTACGTGAGAGGAGGAAAAGTCTTCTTCTTTGAAGACGTTTCGATAAAATGGCATTATTTCAGTGCATCTGAAACCTGATTTTTTTGTTTGTTGGTGCAGCGGTTCTAACCCAAGCTTGTTGACATATCACAAGCAAATCTCAGAGCACCACATCCCGAAACACCTTGCATCATTCTCTTGGCTTCGTAGCGTATTCGAGGAAACGGAAATACTCAAATGGGCGGCAAAGCTGTTCCGCTGGAAGAGATTATTCCTACTTGCGTAATCAATTCATCTCTTTCACGAGAAGTAGCTTCTTTCCAAAAATTTCAGGAACTCGTCATACCGTCGTTACACCAGTCTACAAAAAATAATTTAAAATAACATGAGTGGTTCAAAAAAGATTAAATTTTACCTCATCTAAATTATAAAGAAGGAGGCACGATTTACATTGAAAATAGGCCCCCGTGAAATTCAACCAAATTTCAATATTTTAAAGGTATCATCATTGCAAAAAAAAATTTGAAATGTAAAGAGGATCGTATGTCTGTGATAGCAGATATAGCTTGTCAAAGTACGTAGGTCCTGCTATGGTATGCATAGGAAATGTCCGAGGATCCGATTTTGACGTTTTTGGGGTTTGATACCTACAAAAGGACCCCAAAACCGTTAAAATTGGATTAGTATTTTTCGAAATATTCAAGAAAATCTACGTAGGGATATTTCCTCAGATATTTCCTATGCATAGCATAGCCAGGACCAACGTACTTTGACAAGCTATATCTGCTATCACAGACATACGATCCTCTTTACATTTAAAATTTTCTTTTGCAATGATGATACCTTTAAAATATTGAGATTTGTTTAAAATTTACGGGGGCCTATTTTCAATGTAAATCGTGCCTCCTTCTTTGCATGAGTTCTAGAGTTCGTTTGGGCATATTCATAAACTAATCGCCTTGTTGCGTTTGGCTTCAGACCGTAA